AGTTTATGACTGACCTGATAGACCAAAGTAATGAGAATTCATCCGACATTTTTTTAAATTCCTCATTAGTCCGTAACCTGCAGTTTCATATTAAACTTTTATTACGTCGCTGCACGCAAAAAATAATTTTCGTAAGCTTTAAAAGTATAAAATTATTCTTTCACCTTGAATATTTATTGGATTACTAGTATTTATCGATTTACTGCATTACTTAATTAAGAAGCATTGAACTTTAGCAATCTCAAATTTAGCAATTTCTCTGAAAAACCTTTAGAGAAAAATCTCACTATTCCCATGATCAAGACCACTTATAATAACAAAATCCTAATTTTTTTTTAATTGCTCAAAATTGCGGCATACTCAGCCTATCCGACTGTGTGTCGACAATATCTGTGACAAATAAAATTTCAAAGACAGTTACTTGTAACGAATTTCATGTAAAATCATCAGGAAGCGAATGAAAACTTCGATTATAAATGAAATTTCATGTAAACTAGATAAGAAGGGCTAAGCCAATTACTGAAATGCATCAATAAGCTAAAAGCACATGGACGAACACGATCGAAGACACATTCAATTATTGCAGCGAGTGACAAGACATTTTCGCTCAAGTGAACTTGTTGTTGAGCGTTCGCATTGTAAGCGCCGCCAACACTTTCAGTACTGGGGATAACTGTTGAACGGGTAGACAAGCCGGTGTATGCCGCGTACAGCTACTCTCTGTTCGCGACAGTTTGTCCGAAGTAGGATGTGTTACACTCAAAGACGAAGTTTGAGTCGCGCCGACCGGTTGCACTAGACTGGCCGCCCAACCGCAGACTACAGCTATCAGGAAATACGAGGAAGTCCACAAGATTGCTGTATCGATTGTTTTCTCTCTCTCTCTCTCTCTCTCCCTCATTCGCTTTACGACCGCGTATGTACAAATGATCTTCATCGGAAGAAATGATAAGAAAGAGGAGGTGTTAAAACTATCCTGGTATATCCTGATATTCTGGGTTGTGAAAGCTACTTAATTAGTTTTGTTAGGGTGAGAAGGACTGAGAGTGGAGGTTTTAAAATATTTAATATAAAGAACACCGGATTTATTTAATTCACAATAACACTACTTAAAATAATAAATAAACCGGAACGCTCGTAATCAAAGTAAGCTTACAATCAAACTAACAACTAACGATACAAATTACATTTATAAAGGTTCGCCGGCTAAACTAGTTAAAATAAGAAAGGATTAAATTTGTGTCGACACGAGAATCGTAATTCTAAAGAGTATAAAGGTATAATTAACGGAAGTACAATTAATGAAATATAGTTGACGCACGCGTGCTTAAAGATAGGCGAACTGCTTGTTCAAGTACCGGATCTAGAATGATTGAGACGCGTCGCCGCGCCAGCTGAGTCCGATCAAAAAATTTTCTTATCTCAATTCCCTTTCCTCGCACGAAGGTCGAAGGCGTGAACTTCTTGACCTCCTGCCAATGAGGTTTCCTTATTCATGTGTCAACTGCTCCTTTCTCTGTTTGATTGGCTCGAGTCGAAGTCTGTGATGATTCCGACCGTGCGCTAAAGATTGTGCCGTGTTTTGGTGGCTCGTGTTGCGTTGTTTGATATCGCCGGCTTTCGGCTCAAACAACGGGGTGACGGACGCTCAATGTCCGTCGTCGACAATCAGCTTTGAAAGGTAACCTTTCAACCAGTCTGATTGCCACAATGCATTTGCCATCTTTTTTAGCGATGTATGCATTTTTGTGAGTTTGGAGGCAGTGATCGTAGCAATGGTAAATAGTCAAAATTTGATTCTAAATCGTAACTCAGCTTGATGCGGCGCACGCTTCTCTCACACGCTTATCTTAAATTAAACAATATTCGTAGTGTTGCTTAAGTTTCGCGTTTCGAAGAGGCCGTAACTGAACTTAACAACAAAGGAACCAACCGACAAATGTCGGCAGATTAGAGATTCTTTTTAAAAATGAGAGTGTCGATGCCGTTACGCATGGTCACTCGATCTTGTTTTCGAGTTCGACATCGCACGCGCGCATCGATTAGCAAACAGTCCGCGGCGCAATGAAATGATCCAAGCGCAATGTCTTTGTCCAAAAATTCTGTGAGAGCATATTTCAAATTACATCCGTAACAAGTTTTCTTTATCTAATTTTTTTAAGTGGATTAAAGAAAACGTGATAAACATTCGATAGTTACTCAATTTTTTAATAAAATGACATTCTCTTTATTGTATAAAGCAAAGTCACATATAAACTAACCAGACTGTGCAGGGACGGAATTAAAACGTACTTCAATAGTAAAACTCGAGAGAAAAACTCAATAGGGATTGCTTAACAAACAATGCGTGACCAGTTCGACCGTTCAAAGTTTCAATTGAATTCCCTTCGGTATAGTAACGAAATCCCAACAAACGAATAGGCAGGCGAAAAAAGCACACATGCGGAGTCGGTCAAAAGAATTTACCGCCATATAAAAGAAGAACTGCACAATTAAAATACATGTGAAAAATCACTCGGTAATGTATGAGAGAGAGAAAGAGTGACGGGGGGGGGGGGTAGGAAACAGATTATCAATCGATACAGTAGATTTGCTGGATGATAGATGGAGAAAAGGTGGGCCATTGTGAGTTGCGCGTGGTTGCGCTTCCCAGCGATTACACGGCCGTAGGCGCATTTGGTGAGCCGGCCAAGGGGTGAAAGTACCGGTAACATTATCCGATCGCTGTAAACGCTAGCTCAAACGTAAGCAACTGACTAACTGGGGATTTCACTCACGTTTCTTAAAAATAAACATAATCTCTTTCTTTCCTGTTATTGAGTTTGACATATTAACGTGTAGATATGATTGCTGCTAAAAAATTTTAGAATGCTTGAAAAAATGTTAATCGTTAGTTCTTGAAGGAGCTGATTTTCAAATTGAATTACAGGAGTACTATAAAAAAGTTGGAGCTGTAAATGTCGCGAGAGATGGATTTGTTTGAATACGGTACGGCGTGAGAGTGAAGGACAGACATTTGATGGGGCTCGTGTGCAGTCTTATGCGCCGGAGATAGGAAGCTACGCATACTGCAATCTCTTAAGAATATAAATGGCAGTTCGATTCCACATTTTACGCAGGAATACTTAGCAATCATTTTTGAAAAGATATATAACGTCGTCACCGTCATGATTATTTATATTTTCGACAGAATTGAAAAGAAATAAATCCATGTATCCAAATCTGATAAGTATTTTTTATCTTTCAGCAGTAAAATAATCCTCTTTAAATTGTTCAGTGAAAAAACATTTTTCACAAAAATAATCTGCATTTATTTAATGCGATTTGTTAAAATACCTTTTACGAATGAAATTAAAAGAAGATATATTCATAAAATTTTTACATTCCCCGTAAAATACATAAAACATCAAAAATTGCGCTCTATTTTCATAAAATATAGCTTTCTTTGAAAAATTCGACTGGTAAATGTATAGTGCAGTTACTTTGCTAAGAAATAATGTTATTTTCTATGTACGGAAAGACACTAGACACACTATTTTCTGATTCGATCTATATCTCATTCACTGTTGAACAAGCGGAAGGGAAACAAGATTAGACGGAGTTGAGCTAGCAGCAGCGGCAGCAGCAGCGGTAGCAGCGTAAAGTCGAGCAAATATTGCACGGGAGCTTCAATTTTCGCTGTCTCATGTTAAAATGCATGCGAAAAATGACAGAACATAAAAATTGTAACGGAAATATTGCTTTTCATCTGTGAGTGGGTTTTCTTCTTTCGTCACGCGAATGACGTTTTTTCGATAATGTATGAACAACTAATAGTATCTCGAAATAAACAAAATATTTCTATAAAAATGACGTTTCACGTTAGTGACGAAATGCTCAATATTGAAGGACTTGACCTTGCTCATTCATAAAATATGGGAAATCAAGATTGTTCATACAATAATAATACAAAAAAAGCTTAAAAGCTCGATCCACATATATATGTGGATCAATTGGTGAAAAAAAAACGAGCAACGTTCTGCCTGTAGATATTTCGCACAGATATACGTGGGTCGAAAATTAGTTGACCGCCAATCGCAATGCGCAACACTCGAGTCGCACGTGACTTCAATTACAGACTGTCGGGAATCGTGATGCCAGCCACGCGCGCACGCCACTGCCACCACTCGACGACGACACACTGTCAATCGCTCGCACGCTGCTATGTCTCGCCTGTATTTATATGCAGTGGCGCGCGATTTTTATTTCGAAACCTCGCGGCATAAACGGCGACGAGTAACGAAAGCAATTTTTCACGGAAAAGACTATATAGATATCTCCAGCGTAGTCGATGGTAAACAATTTTTATTGACTTTTCTGTTATATGCTCTGAGGCATCGACGATGCGGGGATCTCTGTTTGTTTTTCTTTCAGCCTTTTTTCCCTCACTCGCTCGGAGTGACGCGCTCTATGCGGACCAGAAAAGCTATACGAAGGGAGGAAAAAAATATAAATATCGGCACAGTTTTTACGCCTGAGGCAGAAGTAAATTGTCGAGTGTCAGGTGAACTGCGGGTATAAGCGCGTAAAATGTTTAAGAGCCAAATTGTCGTCAAATCCCTACGAGATCCTCTCTATTGTTGACTGACGCGTTGAAAGACATGAAAATGTGCGGGTTTTCTTAGTTTTTTTTTCTTTCAAACGAGCTCCCGTTATGAGATGTGCAAGTCATTCATCGATGGAATGCTCTTATTATTCGTCTTTTATCGGCAGTGTGAATAACTGAATTTTTCTGGAAAATTGTAAAACTGCAGAAATCGAATTTGTGGCTGCAAAAATTATTTACAAAAATTGATCAAATTTTCAAAGTCGCAATATGGAAACTGTTGTTATGTCTATGCTGCAAAAAAACCATTTTTCACGCTAGTCGAGATTTCCAAATATTTGAACAGCAATGAGAAATTGAGAAAAAGATTAAAAATTCATTATATAAAAGAACTGAATGGTTATTCTGTTTGCAGATGCACAGGAGGCTGCTTTTCTTGTGCTGTTGGCTGCTGTTCCTCGATCTTTGCCGCACAGTCAATCCAGGTAATCAACTATGCTCCACTATCCATTGATAAACACGAAACGCCTCCGAATCTTCTTGATAATTTACCTCCTTTTAGTAAGCTTTGCGCGTCAAAGGATACCATTGAATTCTCACTCTCTCTCTCTTTTTTCTATCGACTGTTGTGTTAAAAGTGAGAAACAGTCAAAAGAGCGGCTGTTTAATTCATGCTCTTGCTTTCTCGATATTACCGAATAATTTAAAACCGATGGAGGCTATCGAGTTTCGTCCTTATTTACGGCCAATAAAGCACCAGCAAAATATCGCTGAGAGAATTTATCTCACACGTGCCACTAAGCGTTCGCGGTGCTGCTTGCTCGCGCATTTTCGATGCTATCCTTTTCTCGATTGACTTTGTTACTAACGATACTAATGACGTGCCTTGCTGTTTATCCATCGCGTGACACTTTTTTTGGATAAGCATACACGTTTTAATAAAAACTTTGAATTAATTTCCGTTTGAAATAAAATTACGTGGTACTATGATACCATACTAAGTCACACTTCTGAATGTCTAATTAAAGAATCTTTAACAAGTCACCTTGCATCTGGGGGGTAAAACTCAGAGAGAAATTCAACTACCTTTTATGATCCTCAAGCGTTTCTTAAAGTAGCAACTTTGGCGTCCGAAAAAGAGAAAAAAAAGAGAGGAGAAGAGCCAGCCGGAGAAATACGCTCGGCCGACCTACACCCGCATAGAGATCAAAAGACGCGAGAGAGAAAGAGACAGAAAGAGAGAGAAAGAGAGAAAAGAACGATGGGGCAGTAGTGGTAATAGCGTATAAGTCGACAAAAGTTTAGCCTGCAATGGTGGAGGAAGGATCTCGTTAAGCGCAAAGTCGTTGTCAAGCCGGCCTTCCTTTTTTTTCCGTTCCACCTTTCTTTTACGCTACTTGCTGACCAGCATTACCAGCGCCACAGCGCCTTTAAATCCAAACTTGTGGCAGAGAAGGAGGGAAAGAGAGAGAGAGAGAGTATACGTCTCTTGCAGCTCGGCTTGGAATTCGATATCATCTCGGGAACACGTGTAAGCAACACGCCACCGCGTGCACGACGAATCTTTATGCTCTTACTTACCTACTGTTTCGCCTTTATCTAATCGCGCGACCCTCGCCCTGCCGAGTTACTTACTTGCTCGCTTGCGTGTTATTCTCTGCTAGCGATTATAATCTTTGTTATACTATTTGTTATAACTTTGCCGACCGAAAAATTATTTTTAGGTTATACGTACAAGCTACTGTACTCATGAATATTGCGATGAACAACTTAAAATTTATACAACAAGCAATAGATCGCAGCATGGAATAATAATTTGAAAGACATTTTGAATATCATGCATTTCGAGTGTTACATTCGGTTGTAGACGCAAGCTATTCGATGCAAGCTATTCGAAGGGTTCCCATAAAATTACCTAGAACTTGTTTTTGTGAGAACTTGCCACCACGAGAACAGAAATAAAATAATGTTCATTTGCGACAAGCATGTGTCAATTTATAACTTTATCCACAGAAAAATCTTATCCGAGCACGTTCAATTAGCACGAAATAAATCTGAAGTCTCGAAGCAGAGGGTGAGAGAGAAAGAGAGATGAGGGAAGGGACAATCGGTCTCTCGCGCGCCATTCACCATTTCCAGGACGCAATCTCACCGCTAAAATCTAGCGCTATCTCTTCTTCCGCTGCGGGTCCTTAAACTAGCTCCGGAGAAAGATTCGTGGAGAGAAGTCGTTCACAACTCTCTCCCTTGCAAACTTTGGAAATAACTGCTAGCCGATCAATGAAGTTCACCTCCACGGATTCTACACCCCAACTATTCGCTTTGGGTAAACTTCCTTGTTGTAAGCCACTGATTGCTGATTAATTTCGTCTTACCTTTTCTCCTTACCATTGGTCCCTGAAAGCTGATTGACTTTCCTTTCTTTCTGTCTTTCTTTCTTCCATTAAGACGATTCATTTAATTTTTTTTTGCCGATTGATCTTTTATTCTTACGCCTGCAAGTATTAAGAGACTTCGCGCAAAGTTTTTTCTCTTCGAGATTACTTGCCTTAGCAACGAGTTATACGACGGCCCGACGCGTTTTTTCACGGTAGACCAAGCTTTCCGGAATTTCAAATTGATTTTCGACAAATCGCGAGGGCGCCTTTTTCCTTTCGCGCTTTCAGGGCGACGGCTTTTGTTCGATTGGAATTTTCCTGTGAACGTCGTGTTTCTGCGACTGTAGAAATGATTTTTTCTTTAAAAATATTAGTTGAAAGGACGTACAATGTGCAATCGTTTTACTCCACGATCAAATGTAATTTCGCCCACTGATTGCATTGCTTTCTAGAACAAATTCTTTTCATAAAACTCAACGATATGTAATATTCTAATTGGACGTTAAATAACGAGCTCCGCGATGTTTATCGAATTTAGAACGAATAAAACTATTGAGTTTACAAGCTAAATTAGTCGAAAACACGACAATCGTACTGTATTGATAATCTTCATAATTGATTGGGCAAAAAGCTGGAAAAATCAATAAAAACTGGAAAACCTGCAAAGTGCGAAAGGTGCTTAACCTGGCCGCTCTCGACATTGTTGACCCCCTGGAGCGTATGGCATCATGGTGTCCTATCGGAAGAGAGTGCAAGCGGCCGCGCACACGTGCACAGCTAGTGTCGTAAATGAGCCTGCTCGTGTGCGTGTCTATATATATTTACGCTGCGAGGCAAAGCGCTTGGCTACTCAGGGCGACACACGATTACACAGCGACACAGCGCGAGGCTTTCGGAGAGATAGCGGGCGAGGGTCGTTGTAGGTACACTCACGCGACTCGCCTATTATGCATGCCGCGAGAGACGGGACTTGCTCAAGAATCAATAGGCTCCGCGCTAAACATGTCACCCTAGCTGATACTCCTCCTCCCACTGCTATCCAACGTGGACAAACGAGTCTTGCGCGTGTGTGCGAGCGAGAGGGGCAGAGGCTGTGCTTGCCGATCACCTCGGGAATTACCGCGTGCGTCGACCTATCGATTCTCCAGATTTGCCTGCGAAATTTCCACCCAAACAGCGCGCCGATGCTTCATGGAATACCGAGAATTGGCTCGCCCGATGCTTTGCTATTTCATTTCGCGTTACTGCGCTTATCGTTCATTCATCATTTCTCTTTCACAGTCTTGGAAAACCATTGTCTTTGTTCTTTTCAAAGTCAACTAGTTTCCGCGTAACTCGGTGCCTGTCTGTAGAAATTAAGAAAACGACATTCGATCAGCTGAACCTGTACAGCCCAAGCGTCCACCAAGCAGTCGCAATGGCTTTGTCAAACTGGGCTGTTTCCGCGCGCGTTTCATATGCGCCGAGACAGATTGGCGCCGACAACAAGGACAGCGACAAAGGCGCGGAAGCGAGTGCGAATTTAGTACCAAACTTGATTAAAGATATAACGTTCCATCGCTAAACTGGCGACTGTGTATGCGAAGAAAATCTGGCGCGGATAGGTACACATGTATGCGTGCTCGCGTCATACAATAGTACATTGCGGCCGAGATTTCCATGCCGTTCACGGGCTACAACTGTGGCGTTATAGCTATACCTGAGGCGAACGTGCACGCTACAACGCCCTTCATGATCACGCTACCTTGAGGCGTACTCCCTTTGTTGGCATACATATACGAAGCGCCGTAGCTCTCTTATGTGCGTATGGCAGACTATCTAAGGCAATGTCCTCGGGTAATTGACTGCCACGGCTCTCGTGCGTATGCGTCTGCGCATCTATCTATAGCTCTATACTTTCCACGAATCAATTTAATTTCGATGCAAATTAATTGTGTCGCAGTCGCTTTGCGCCGTCGGGCTGTTGTCTCTGTTTACTATTGTATTCATAACACTTGTTAAATACTTTTCTTATTTAGCTTCTCGTAACGTTCGCATTTTTAAGCTTTTCAATGTCTTCTAAAATGCTCGGTTGTTGTAAAAAAAATTCACGCTAAATTCTGATAGTGTGTTCCATTTTTATGTATACATATTGAACCCACATTATATCTACAAAAATTATCATAATTTGTACACGGTGCACCTGATTCCCAGAGCAATAAGTACAATCAAAAGCCAAAGGTTATTTCCCAGAAACGATAATAAAAGAAGTTGCGATAATTCCAATATAAAATGTCCACATTTGCTCGAATAAAGCGACGATCGCGCAAGCACACGCAATGAAAGATCAGCGCACAGCGATAGCGACGTGCATGTATGCGCAACACTCGATCCGTATCTCGCAGGTCCGCGTACGCGAGAACATATACTCGTATATACACACACTCGTGACGCGGTTTAATTTGCCGCAGCAACCACTGCGTGCGGCCTTGACGCTCGGTCAAGCTTAACTGGTCTCTCGTCATATTATTTCTCCTTGGGCTCTCGCTTGTTTCTGAGGGCTCGTAATTGAAGCGTCGAAAATGGAAGGGAGAGACAGCAGACTCGAGCGAGCTTAGTGGCGCGAGTTCGATACTTCACGCCCGCGCGAGGTCGCGCTTTATTGAATCATATCGAGAGAGGGAGAAGGGGCAAGAGAAAAGCTGCCGCAACTTTTCCAATTACTCATAATAGCCGTCAAGTGTTTGCCGAGCTTATTGTTTGTGGGATTATATCGACCTGATTTTCTCTTATCGTAGAATTTTCTTGCCTTTGACGATGAGTTATTTTTATTCTTACGCTAGTTTCTCTTATGCACGACAACCGCTGGTGCTGTTTTTCAAAGAACAAAACCGATAAAGTTTCAACAATCAATCAATCTAAAAACACTATCAGTTTTTGCAACAGCTCCATTGGGATTGAAATCGAGAGTAAAGGCTCAAATCGGCTTGGGCTCAGTTTGCAGTATCGAGCAATTCTCAACTCCCACGCTAGCACCTTTTTTTACTATAATCGTTCCGTATTCAATTCACTCAGTTGACGTTATATCGCTCGCAGTATTATAAAATGACTTCGCGTCACCCCATGAA